CATAGCGCTACAAAACACTTCCATGCACGTTTTTTTACCAAGCTTAGCTTGTTCAAAAAGCCCACTTCGCTCATAATTTTACGAATTTGAGGTCCTATGAAAAATCCTAAAATTCATAAAAAGAGATAAAACCGATGAAAAGGTATTAGATGAGATAATAAAAAATGAATACCTCCTTTTATTTAGGCTTCACTTAATTTTGAGAACACCACTTTAAGATGACAAAAAGCGTTGCTATTTGTATCCAATTTTTTTACAATTAACAGATGGATTGCACGAAAAAAAACCGGGTTTCCTATGAGACAGCTTTGCAAACCGTGCACCGTGCAAGGGCTTTGCAAGACTGTGAGAATACCCATATAGTTTCATATATCCTAGGATTAAATGCAGTGGTGGTAGGACAATATTTTGAGCTTTGGCCAATGGGACATTTAAAACGTTTTTCCTGCCTATTTGATCCGGCTCTCGGAATGGCGATACCTTACAATCATAAAAAACGTCAAATTAAAAAAAGCAGTCAAGCAAACATTTTTGAGTTGTATAGCCAAAAATAATATTTTTGCAAAAATTTTGTTTTCATAAAAAGTTCAATGACTCAGTAAACTTTCATCCGATTTTTGAAATAAACACTCGTTTTACTCGTTGTTAAATTTAGTTTTACAATCAATTTAGGACTAGTATGGTTTTCTTATAAAATAGGGCGTAAAAAGTTCACCGAAGTTGAAAAAAGTTTAAAAAATGTAAAAAAGGTGTTTAGCGGGTAAATACACACAGATCTCTTAAGGTTTTGTTATTCGCATATATATCGTTCGAAAGTCCCAAGTTTCTTCTTTTTAAGCCCGGATATAAACCGAAACTCGGTTCATATTGAACTATGTTACAGGCTTATAAGTGCGCAAAAGTACGAAAAACCGGGTTTTTAACGGTAAGTCAAGATTTTGGGGGTGCTTGGCAAATTTCATATTTCTATTCTTGTTTTACCCGAATAGAGTAATTTTTTGTGTACTGTTTACCTAGTGCTCAGCTGGTGTGCATATAAAAAGTAACTCGGCAGTTCTCTAGTTTAAGGTACAACTTGCAAAAAAGAATGAACAAATAAACAATTTTTTACGAGGGCCACGCGGCGCGTTTGGACGCGGGCCCTCTTATGCACTGAAAAAATAATACAAATTATTTATTGAAAGTACATATAAACCAATTGGTATCCATAAAAATCATTGTGTGAAACCTTTCCCAGCTCATCTCGGTGATCTTAAGATATCTCTTGAGACTATTGAGATATTGAGTTTGCCCGCTGAAACAAAATCAGATGCGAAGGGTATTAAACGTATATCGAACCTTTGGAATGCATTTTGCTGGCATCTCTTTGGCTCAAAACTCTAGTCCCAATTATGTTATTATCGAACTAATATTTTCTTAAATCCAGAGATTCTACGCATGGGCGTAGCCAGGTAGGGGCAGGGGGTGCTCGAGCCCCCACCCCCCCCCCCCCCCCCCCCTAACTTTCAAATTTTCCTTATATATATATAAAATAGTGCCCTGAAATGCCAGCTTAATAGGGTCGAAAAACTGAACTGAAACTCTGTTCAAGCAAGAAGTCTTCTACGTTCTATTGTCCTGCCTTATTGGAAACATGACGATACGAGTTGTTGCTTTGAAAAACTTTAAAATTCGCCTTTTTTCAAAATATCTTGAAGAACCCTGCAGAAGCAAGCAGCATCCTTCTGTGAGGCTAACGATGTGGACGTTTCTATCGATTTGATCGAAAAAATTATATATTTAAAGACTACTCACGAAGCAAATCTGGACACACAACATCTGCCTCCGTTGCAACCCTTATCTCTGCGAATCACTTGGAATCTTCTGAAATATTCTAGTGACTGCTGCTGATGATGAACGTTTATTCAGTCTATTATGTACCTCGAATTAAAATTTGTTTACGTTGAAGCAAGACAGAGTAACGCGCCTGGCAACTTTGACAGTGGAATATCTTTAGCTCGTACCATTGATTTTGAATCCCGCATCTCAATGTTTGCTGACAGAAAAGCACAAAGTGTTTTTCAACTAAATTCAGAATGTGATGACAGTTTATTCTTTTTACAGGCCTATTCTGGACGACACCGAATATTTGGTAAAAAAACAATTTATAAAATTTTATCAACAAAAACTGAAACTGAAAAATTAATTTCCGTTTTAAAAATGTTTGTTATCAGCGTAAACTAGGCCTATTAAGAACCGTGAATACCAAGTAAATTGGCTTTGTACTAATGTACACATAGTTATGGAAAAACAAATTTTTTTAAGCCCTTATACAAAAATTCTAAGGACATATTGATGCCACTTTTCATGGGGCCCAGCCCGGCTATCGACGGCCCTGCATATAATAAGTGCAATTTATTAAAATTCGCCTTGAGTTTTTGTAATTTTTTATGTGGACGGTCTTAAGCATTTTCCTTCATAAAATATTCATATATATATGGAAAAACTGCAATTGACCGTCAGAAAAAAAATACTAAAAATCAACGAAAATTCTTAGCCTCGTCGAAGTTGAACTTTATTACTGTAATTTCATTGGATATAAAACTGCATACTCCGGGTTAAAAAGTTTGAAATTTTGAAGAAAATTTTATTTTTCGTCGTTACTGTATTTACCATGTACTTGATTTTATTTCTTATACATATCGGAGATTGTCAGGACATACCCCAATTTTTGAAGTATCACGCATTTCTTTTTATAAATTACATCATATTGCTTACTATATTTCCAGTTTAAAATAAGTATGCAGTGGTAACTTTTATCTGAACAGTACTGTAGATACATATCCTCCTAATACTACGTAGTTTACAATCTATGTTTGGAACCGTTGTGGGATGAATACAAAACTATGGAAATCCTGCCAGATTCCAGTGAATGTGGAAAGGTAGAAAGGTTGACTTAGGATAGATTTGCTTTGCGTTTGGCTAACACAACCCTCCGCCTTTCTCTTCTATGTATTTTTATTTGTACTATCATTTAGCGCAAGGACGTAGAAGCATTTAAAAGTTTGTATACAACCAGACATCGGACATTTGGTAGTGCCTCTTAACTTATTGTATATTATAGTATTCATGGTGTGGCACTCTACTAATAAGTAGCTAGTCATTATGTATGTTCAATTGAACAATGTTTTCCCAAATTTATTTCAGAAGCGCTTACCACGTTCGTATACATAGGTAAGTTAACATGCCTTATTGATTTTGCTCAAACACAATACAAACATGTACGAAATACTTTTATATACACAATCGTATGTGCATATTACATTGAATATTCATGCGAAGATGTGTAAAAAAATTGCCTTTCGCGTTAACTGGATACTATCCGGTAATAATCAATGTCCAAGTATTTATGAACTTGTGCGTGTGTATACTACATTTGTGATTTTTGTAATCATACATTTTTTTTAACATATTCTCTGGTAAATTAACAAATTAAACAAACAAAAAATATGACGCCGCCATCACATACTAAATACTACAAAACGTCCATATATACATACACTCATGTATCTGTGTTTGCAATGTATTGTTACAAAAATTTATATATGCATCCATATACAATGAAAATGAATAGACTAAAGTTGCTGTGATTTAAAATAAACAATGCATCAAATGTTAAATGCTTTTTAAAAGTGTGGGAACTTAACTAAATAAAAAGTTAAAACTCGTGAATGTACATTAGTATAAAAACTAAATATTAAAACTAAACGACTTACAAATTAGGCTTATAAAAATTATACCTTAAAACTGATACAATAAAGTTAAAACTATTAAAAGTATAAAGGAACATTTCTCACACACGCATAGGCATGCGAATTTACTTACAGTGACGGGCAAAACTGTAACATGGTTTAACACTTTTTGTTTCAACCAGCGCTATATTTCCAAGTTCTAACGACTTTCATCCTTTTGTTGAATATTCTTGTTGGTACATCCCTACTCCCTCTCTCATAATGATTTGAAGTCAATACAACAACAATAAAAAAACCAGCAGACAAAAATGTAAATTAAGGCAGATGTTACAGTTTTGCTCGTCACTGTATATGGACTTATTTATTCGTATTTATAAATGTATATACAGATTTGTGCATACATACATATGTACATATCAGTTAGATAGAGTCGTTTCAACATCGGCTCATTTTCATAGAGTCGAAAAAACATTACACACTGTATGTATATAAGTCAGACTGGGTGGTTCGCCAAAGAATTTTTTTTTTGTATTTACTCTCTCTAGTTTGAAAGCTTACTTCGAGAGGACTTTGACGTCTCGAAAATTTTCGAAAAACGCAGAGAAATTGGCGTTTTTGTACCTTATTTTCTTATGGCCCGATTTCAAAGTATAAAACATCATAGATAATGGAAATATTCATTACATTAAAAAATTTAATTTTTTGGTAACTAAAATTTAATTTAGTATGTTAGAACCTAAGACAATCGCGTTTCACGGTTGAAGGAACGTACTTTTATGACTTGAAGTAAGCAATTACTAATGTATATGTATACATACATATGTACATACATATATACAGGGTGTCTTAGGCCACCCGTCCATCCCCTCTAAAATGGTAGCAAATGTTTTTTTTTATTGAAAAAGGCAACAATATGCCCTATCAAATCGGGGATTCTCTATCTTTTGGTGGTATTACCGAATTCTGGTTGCGACCGGATAAGGGTTAAACTGACCGGTAGTCCAATTTTTTTAAATTAGACATACATGTTTTTACTACTGATCGGATTGTGAGGATAAAAATACGTAACTTTTGTTTGAAACTTTTTTCCTGGAAGTGCCTTTTCAATGCCTAATTGACCTTCGAACTTCAACTCGTACAAGACTTCTAAAATGGACGAAAATGTTTTATTGGAAAACGAAAAAATACGAATCCCAAGTCGGGGATGCTCTATCTTTTGGTGTATTACCGACTTCCGGTTTCGCCCTGATGTAGGTTGAACTGACCGGAAGTCCATTATTTTTAATAGGCACTACATATTTTTACCACAGATTCGGATTCTGCGGACAAGAATACATAACTTTTATCGGAAACTTTCTTTCTGGAATGTACTTCCGGTCGGTAATAGGACCAAAAGATAGAGCATCCCCGACTTAGTAATTAATATTTTTTTCCTTTTCGAATAAACACATTTGCACTCATTTAAGCAGTCCAGGACGATTTGAAGTCCGAAGGCCATTTAGAGGTTGAAACATGCACTTCCGAGAAAAAAGTTTCAAAGAAAAGTTACCTATTTTTTTTCTCAGAATCCGAATCTTTAGTTAAAACATATATGTCTAAAAAATTAGACTTCCGGTAAAAACCGGACATAGTGCAACATAGATCATGGGCAAAGCTATAGATTCTTCACTGGCCAACATTCATGGAACATCAAAGTTGGTTACAGTTGAAATATGGTGGGAGTAACTGTATACACTTTAGCTTTGTTGATTAAGTTTAAGAGTCAGAACATTGACAAAATGCTTAAACACTATTTCGGAACTATTTTTTTCTTTTCACAAATGCTTTAAAATATTTAAATGACAGATAAACAGAGATTATAGCGTAATAAATTCTAGAATGAGACGTGTGGGCGGTGAACATACATACATATATATGTATGTACGTATTTCACTAGTAGAAAGTCTCGATGCCTATGAATACGCTTTTTAATTTCCAGCTGAACGATTTTCGGTTCATTTGTCCGATATGCTTTAAATAAGATAGCTAAGGTTTTTATATCAGCATTGCCCTTTGCATTCCTTTTAGAAACTCACCAGTTATTTGACTACAGTTAAATAATTGCTTGATAATATCTTTAGCATGTGAATTTGATAGGTTCGTAAGCGCTGTTGTAGCTGTTATTGCTGATGATGTACTGCTACTGCTGCAATTTGCTGTTATTGACTCATTTCTGATCGAACGGTTCTGTATTGCATGGGTATTAACATTAAAATATGGAGTATTCCTATCGCTGCTGTCTTTGTCGCCGTCATCAGTTAAGCTTGTAGAGAGTGGTGTATTCCGTATGCAATTGGCACTTTTACGACTGTGATCACTTTCGCCAATGCAGCAAGTATCGTCAAGTAGCTTACGGTTAACAAAATTGCTTCGATTATTGTAATGGTAATGGTCACTACCATGATCTAAGCCACCTTCAGCGCTACGACTTCCACTAACACTAGATCGATTGTTCAAAATAATAATTTCGGAATTTGTTTGCTCCTCTTTAGCATTCTTCTTTAAATTGCCGGTTTCGGGAGAAATTGGAATAAAAATCTGCCGTTGGTCTCTGACTTGCATGACATCTTGATTATTAATTTTTGGTTCCGCACTTCCATCATTGCGGTTCCTGTTTTCCCTCCAATCTAGCTCGTTGCAGTTGTTATTCCGTTGACTTTCTAGTGCTTGTTTCATGGCATTTTGTAAACTCAGCTCTTTATAAACTCTTGTAAATGTGCAAAGGTGATCACTGGCGACGATATCGGCGTCTGAAAAATTGCTTTCCTGGGTACCATTGGTTTCAATGCGATCTAATTTTTCATTCATTGCGGAATCGCCGTTTTTAGCAGCTCCATTGGTGAGCAGTCTTGTAAGCTCGGCTTCAGCGGCGGGGTTAAAGTCTTTTCTTGAAACTGCATCCACCTCCGAATTGACATTCGCGTTTACATTTGCTTTTGTTTGTTCCAAAAGTTTCTTCATTTTAGAGAAATGTTCAATGGCATGCTGCTGAATATTCACTTGCGGCAGTTGACACAAATTAAAGTCGCTTAATTCCAATCCAGGGTTAATATTAACATTTATAATGGCCTTGCTGCCGTTGGACTTGGATGTTTTCATTACATTTTTTTGCGAAACTACGCCATCTTTGTTATATTGCGTAGCGTCCTCGTAGTTACTATCATCAGAAATTGTGGCAAAGCGTTGGTTACGTGATTTTTTGTCTTTTGCACGAGAGTTTTGGAACCAAACCTGTTCAAACCACAAAATAAAAATTAGTCATATAATTTGCAGTTCTAGCCTTATAATGTGTACTAAGTAATAGCGATGTTCGTAAACTTTCGATCTACATATGAATACTCCGTTGCCTGGATGAACGATTTTCGTACCGCCATTTGGACGACTTTTAGTTATAAATGCAGTTATATTTTTTACAACAAGGTCTTTTTACTGGTGCTACCACTTTTTGGATATCTCCTTCAGTTTCCGAGGTATTGAGTAAAAGTGTATCGATACCGAATGGTACTTAGTACAAATTGAGTTAATAATGCAGTCTTACTAAACTAATCAAGATATTTCAAATGGCGTTACCCATTTTTTGATAACTCTATTAGTCTCCGAGACATCGAGGAAAAAAGAATCATTGATTTAGTACAAATATTTATCACATTTTGTCGTATATCAACAAAGTGGCTGCAAAATCGTTTACAAATGTATCAAGTGACTAAACTTTACTAAAGAAAATCCATCATAAACTCAAAAACAATAAAACTAAAATAATTTAAGAATTTCGTGAACTAGTAACATTCACCGAGACTTTGGAGAAAATCTATCGTCGCTTGTTTGAGAAATCGTATTTCAAACTTCAATCACGGTTTCCCAAAAGTAACAAGCGATAATCTTTTATCCAGGCGACGACTTGTTTTTAAGATATCAACACATTCTTACTAACTAAACTAACTTTTTCTGAAAAGAGCTAATAAACACAATGTTTACCTTAAAAATCGCATCCTAGCGATTAACTAAATATTTTCTAAATACAGCAATAAGTAGTAACAGCAAGTTTACGTAGCAACGCTCAGGCTTTTAGATCACTTCATCAACTGGAACATATTATATTACTAAAACAAATAAAGGAGAAAAAACAAATAAATCAAACAGAACATAACCTAAAAAATAAATGATAAACTAAAAAGTTTGTATACTTAAGAGGTAACTGAATGACTACGGAAATTAACTATAATCATAATAATCTAAATACATTTTAGTAATACTCTTCTTCTTAATTGGCGCTGCAACCGCCTAAGAGATTTTGACCGAGTTAAACGCCAGTCGTTTCTCTTCTGTGCCACCTGACGGCAATTGGAAATGCCAAGTGAAGCCAAGCCATTCTCAAAACTTGGTATTTCCATAGCAGTGGGGCCGCCCTCTTCCTCTGCTATCACCAGCGGGAAAATCCTCTAATTATTAAATAATTGTAAATCTAGTGTTCGCTTACAAATGACATAATAAAAATTTCCCAAATATATAAAGAGCTCATATACCGACTTCTATAAAGAAAAACTAAAATGATACTTACTTGCACGACGCGTTTCTTAAGGTTTACTTTTTTTGCGATTTCCTCAAGCATTTTTCGACTTGGATTCGATTCTTTTTGGTAGCATTCATATAAAAAATTTAGTTGTTCTGGCAGTATTGTAGTTCGTAGTCGTTTACTCTGTTGTTTTTCGGTAACACCAGTAGCAGCTTTGGATGCTACAGACGCTGTCGGGCCAGCAGCAGAAATGTTATTGGTATTTGAATTTGGCGACGACGATGACGTTTCAGATGATTGCATTTTATATATTGCTGTGCATCCGCTACTGCCATCAGTATCCGTTTGTGCTAGTATTTCGTTACAAGTTTGGGCGTGTGTGGGTGTTTCATCGAGAAATTCCTTCAAGTTGTGCATATATAAACCGGAATTACAGCTAGCTGTAACAGTGGCTGCTGCCTTTGCTGTTAGTGGCAATTGTGATTGAGGTGATAGAGACGATGAGTTACGCTTTGCATGGTTATGCCTCTGGTTTTTTACGTAAGCTCCTCTGGCCTTACTTACATCCTTGAGATGTTGATCGTCATTATAGGCGAAAGGTAGATTCGTTAAGAGTTTTTGATCGGTGGAAATATTCTTTGTGCTGTTATCCGAGAGATCAGTTTGTTTGCTTATTTTAACGTTGCTTTTTGCCGTATGTAGTCGTCTAGCGCAAAAGCTATTTTCATCATTATTGTCATCATTATTATCTGTATCAGCACTACTATCAGCGTCGTCAACATCCATACCGCCATTACTATTTCTGTCGTTATCATTGTTGCCATCATCGGCATCTGACGGCTCAATATTGCTACTAAGGGCATCCATAGAGTTTTTTGTTAAGCTGGAATCTGACATGCTGCAGTCTGCCTTAGGCGTGGTTGTATTATCTCTGTTTAAAGATATATTATTTGTGCGCTGGTATTGTTTTGTCGATGTTGGCGACGCTGCCGTGTGGTCATTTATTTGTGGGTTCGAGGCATCTAACTGAAAAAACTTTTTCGATTCGTTCAGTTGATAGTATTGCAAGAGAAAATCAATGTGAGGTTTATTCTCCGTCCCGAAAGCGCCTGCGATATGTTGCATGGTCCCCAGCTGCTTACGTTCATGCTTTTGATAGTACTCATATAAAAAATCATAGTTACTTCGTTTTCGCACCTCGGATTGGTGATAAAAATTTGCAAGGAACTCCATTTCCAGCTCTGGTTCGTGTGATTGCTGATGTTGCGATTGAAATTGTTGCTTTAGCTCATTGTTGCTCTCGTTTTGCATGAAATACTGGTATAAAAAATCAAATTTTTTTGCTGTTGAGAGGGATGATGACACAGGATTGATGTCGGTATCCCCGGTTCCGCCAATCGATGACATGTCATCCCCTATTGATGAAGTTTCGGAGCATTTGCGCTTTTTCGCCGGCGGTTGGCCCTGTTGTTGCAGCAATTGCTGTTGTTGCTGATGTGTTGCATTTGCTGCTGCCACCTGTTGCAAACTTTGAAATATGCTGCCAAATGAGCCGTATGCGTCTGGAATGTTCGGAATCTGGGATGTAAACAAGCCGGGATTCATCAAATGAAGCAGCTGATGTTCGCGGAAATGTTCGTAGAACCCAAATTGTATCTTACATTTGTCGCATTCGAATTTAGATTTGTCAACTTGGACCTGGGACTGAAGCTCAGTGCAATCGGTCCGTTCTCGTTGCGATTGCGGCGGTGTTGGAGTAGTAGATGGACTGAAGTCGGTAATAGACATCGAAGATTTACCAAACAAATGCTGCGGCGATGTGTTGTGAAGCACATTTAATCCAGAGGATGATGCGTCCGGTGAATTACTAGAAATGTTGGCGCCACTTGTTAAACCATGTGACGACGTAACGGCAGCTACGTGCTGATGCTGCAACAGGGCAATCGTATTGCCACTATTTATGTCCATGGAGGAATTTGAGTCTTCGGAACTTAGATTTTGTGCAATCTGTGCAGCGGCTATTTGCGCCTTCGCCGACTTTTTGTTATTTTCTTCTTTGAAACAATGATTCTTTTGGTGACGTATTAATTCGTAATATCGCTGGAATGCAAGATTGCACTTCTTGCACGCGTAGTTTATATTGTGTTTTTTCTCCTCTGTTTCGTAAAGTGAGTTATTTGGTTGATTCTCATAAATCTTTCGCTGCTTTTGACGGGCGTTCTAAAAAATACAAATTAAATAAGGCTTTACTCAATATGTATTGATCAGGCGTTCTATAGCGCACTATGTGATACATGCATACGGTGGCGAAAATATAAATAGGGACGCGACATTTTATCAAAGTTTTAGCCAATTTTCTTTTGTTTAATTAAATTTTTGATATTATTTTACGGAAGTACATCTCTTTTTGCCCAAATTAGGGGAATTCGACAAAGTTTAATAAAAACTTGGTAAAATATCGCGTCCATTTATTTCTCCACCGTATATAAAATATGCATCCTTTTCGGGTCCATGTCCTAATACTTATCTCCATTCACCGACTTTTTGAAGATATTCAAACTTCAAACATTCTAACACAATTATTGTACACATTTTCATCATTTCATGGGCCTACACGAAAATGTATCTCTCAACTGCTGACGAGCTATTCAACAGAGCGCTTTGCCTCCTATACGTGATGAACAAAACTCGAAATTCGATTTCCGACATGCCATACTATTATTAAATGGCAGATGTGGGCGGGTAGAAACAACGCTATTGTGAGATCCTATTTATAACCGTTTTACGCCTGCTACAAATAGTACCTCGCATGGTACAAAATTGTGTAAAAGTATCGGCCTTCTCACATGCTATTTATGTATATAATTTCCTTTCAGTAAGACAACGTTTTCAGAATTGATTCAAATTTGTTTATGCTACAATGTGAATCAAAATAATTTCTTACCTGAAACCAGACAACAATAACCCGTGGGGAAAGCAACAATAGCTTGCTTAAATACTCCAAATCACTATCCTTTGGATAGGAGTTATTCTCAAAGAATTCCTGTAGTACCTTGATTTGATAGTCCGTGAAACGTGTTCGATTTGCTCGCTTTCCGCTGGACGTGGACGATGCATTCGAAGAATTCGAGTTCGTGTCAAATTGTGAAGATGGTGAGTTCTTTTCGAACGACTTGTTAGTTTGGAAATTTTTTGGTGGACCCATATTGTTTCCGTGCAAGTTCGCAACATTCATACTGGTAAGTTTTTGGCTGAGTGGCAAATTGTCCAATTGTTGATTCAATATTTCATTAATGCTTGCATAATGCGTGGGAGCCGTAGAAGTGCTGTTTGGTGACTGTGGTCTTGAAAGTATATCCGAGCTGCCGCTTTCTGATTTCGTTTCGTAGCTATAGAGGTTGATATGCTGTTGTTGTTGCTGCTGGTGTGCGCTTTGATTTGACTGCGATTGTAAATGTTGTTGCTGCAACATGGATGCAACAGCTGCTCCAACTGTTGTATGCTCCTGCATTTCTGTAACTTGCTGGTGTTGGTGCTCAGCTGCTGTCAATGTTGATATTCGTTGTTGTCGCTGATGCAAAAGCAATGTCGATGCCGTATTTAACAAGTGCTTATCTTGATTACCTTGTCGCTGCTGTTTTTGTTGTTGTTGAGAGGGTGAATTATCAGCGACTGTGCTGTGATGTTCAACATTCTCATCAAACGGTTCAGTTTTAATATCTATTAATATCGGAGAATGGCCACTTTTGCTGGGAAAAGCATCAGTGTTGGGTTCATTTTTGGCATCCTGGAGCTTATGTTCAAGAAGCCTATGCTTATCCTGTTCCCGTTGTTGTTGCGAAAGATTCAACTGCACAAGGAGAAATTCAATTTAAAAACAACTTATTTTTATTGGTGTTGATACAGAAGGGATGAGTATGGTTTCAAGTATTTACTAGGTAAGTATATTTTACATATTTCTAGCACCGTTAGTTTTAATACTTGCCGAAGTCAGATGAAGGTCTTCATTCAAAGGTGTCACTTTGGCTTGCCCAGTACGCTCGTACTCTTCCAGGTTTAATGTTGTAGATGGTGGATTGTTGAAGTTATAGGGAGAATCTTTGTTTCGCTGGCGTTCCTTAAATAGCGTGTTCCGAAACCAATGCTTGACAACCTTTAGCATAGAATATAAAAAAATTGCATTTGTATGAGGCCAGATTAATACAAAGTTAGAGCCAATAGTTTTTATTTTCATATTAATATTTTCTTCTCATATGTTCTTATGTGTGCATGTAATTTTTTGGATTTTAACTTGAGCTCGTCGCGGCAATTGAGGTGGCTGTTTGTGCTCATTTGACATCTGCTGTTTTTCACTTTTCTTCTTGGCGCTTCTCACGCTTAAAAGATATTAAATGAACACAGTCTAAAATATCTTACAAAGGCATTCACTCCTATTCATGTTACACAAGTGAGAGCAGCCCCAAATGTTTCAATTCCTTTGACTGTTCGTAAAGACCCATTGATCTCTTGGAGGATATTCTAGCACCTTCTTGGCTTCTACTCAAAACAATCCTCTTTAATTTTAATACTGATATTTGCCCGATTTTAAATAAAATATCGGATATGCATATTTACTAAGTGTAATTTACTTATATGTACATTTTTTTAAGTTCTCGCATAACCCCTTTAGTATTCGCTAAAATGTAATCTATTCGTCTAGAAATTTCGCTTGAGTTTCAAGGTGAGGCTACAAAATGTCATTACTGTAATTAAAGCATAGACAAACGGAAGTTTGGATCCGGATCAACGCGCTAATTTGGAATTATCTCAAGAATTAACTGCAGTTGATTCAGATTAAGTCCTGCAGCTAATCCTCAAAATGAATACGGATCAGGGGAATTTTCGATGACAACACTGGCCGAAATTGCCTCTTTTTTGTATATTGCTCAAGTAAGTAAACAAAGCAGGCGGCTTTGGCATCCGCGATAGCCGAATGGTGAGAGCTGCGTACTGCAATTCGGTAGAACCCAGGTTCGATCCTCGTTTCGAGCGATGGCTAAAAATTTTTTATCTCACTTTTAATTTTTTATTATATTTGATATAAATTTTTTATTTTGCCTTACTCTCTTTTGTTTTATCTTATTTCACATTATTTATTTTATGAAAAGGTATTCTAAATTTTTAGAGATTAATTTTAAATAAGAGGGGAAATAAAAATCAAAAATTTTGTACGCCCAAGTATGATAGACATTTTATTTTATTATATTATATATTTTTTATAAATGATTTATATTTTTATAAATCATATGTTTTGAGTCATGTTTTTGAGAAAAATACACCGTAGTAATTTTAAAATTTCAAAATTTCATTTCCCGACTGAAAAATAAGATATACTTGCTAACTCGACGGCACACAGTGTGCTTTTTAACAGTTCATGCGAATTAATCGTAGCGTTTTCGACAGAAGCAATATTTTGATATGAAACAAAATGGGTTTGAAAGCTAATGTAATTGCCTTTCACGGAAAAATATTGCCATTGAGGCACTATTACTTCTTAAAAAAATTGGTAAAAAATAGTGTTCTTCGAAAAAAACATGCAAAAATCCAACGGATATATTGAAAAATAAAACATTTTTTGTATTTTTTATTATACTAATGTTACAGATTTTGAGACGAGAAACACGATTCCACTGTTTAAATAACGAAACAAAATTTCAACCCCACAATTTGAAAAATTAATTATATATTGCATTTTTTATGATTTGCATGCAGTTGTGCATCCTTCACACAATTTTATATCCTTCGCACAACAACTGAGTTTTAGTGCTATTGAAGACCTACAATTTAAGCCAAGTCTATAGGCCCTTTAAGAGCTAAATTATTACGATTCGACAATTTCGGAGTAAAAACTAGTACAGCAGTTTCGAAGTTTGGTTTAAAATTTTTATAACTTGGCTCTCAGAGGGCCTACCTTGCCTCAAATTAAAGGCCTTGAATTGCACTAAAACGAACTTATTGTTCGAGGGATATAAAATTGTGTGAATAATGCACAGCAGCATGCATATACAAAAAAATGCAATAAATAATGCATTTTTTTAATTAAGGCGTTCAAATTTTTTTTCGAATTTTGAACAGTGAAATCGTTTCCCTTATCAGCAAGGGATATAGCTTTTCACTTATTTTAACCTAATTTACAACTTACATGCATACATACAACACACAAAATGTACATACTTTCGATAAAAAACAACCGATTGGTACCTTCATTGGTAAATTCGCTTTTTGTGACATTTCCATTATGCTTTCTTCACTTGGAGAATTGTTGATGTCGAAGTGGGCGCGCAAAATTTTTAACTGATCGTCGGTGATACGGGTCCGTGCACGTTTTTGATTACTCACCATCTGGAAAAGAGTTCGAGTAGAGCAATGATATATAATAAAATTCCATTTTATCGTAGTCTTTTTGAAGATGTTTTGCACTATGAAATTCGAGATCCCATTAAATATTTGAAATGAAAAAGTGAAATGCGAATAATCCCATAAAATTAAAATGTTAGACTTTCCCTTCAATTTCTGGTGTGCTTTCACCTCTGTTGAGATCTTTCATTGCAGAATTACACTCGGAGGAGTCAAAAGAGAAAATTTGAAGTTATGACAATGTACATACATACCATCGGTGCATACTAAGAAAGAAACAGAAAATATGAGAAATCTTCGCCGCCAACTAAGTCTTTCTTCGTCATATTTTGTATGCCTCTTTTTTCGCCGTAAATACTCTGACGTCATATCATCTATCATCATAACTTATTAGAAAATCAGTCCTTAAAATTCGACTAGTTTTAATGACGTACTGAGTAGGGCACAATAGATCCCTTGGTCACAGCGCATACCTCAACCTACGTACTAAGCAAAAATATATAACTTCTCGTCTTACCTTAATGTATGTATGTATACTTATGTATATTATACATTTATCATTTTAAGGCATCCAAACACTTGTACGCGATTTGTCGGTGCGAGTCGTACCAACAAAGAAAACGAAAAATTTTTTACTGCGATAAAATCGCATTTCTGTGTGCGTACTTGCGTTTTCGTAGTAAACTCTGTAGCATCAAAAACGGTGCGGACTCGTTCCGACGGAATCGCAAAAGTGTTTTGATGCCTTAAAGCGGAATTCCGAAAGGAAGTAGTTACCTGTGATGTAGTTGTTGCTACAGCTTGCTGTTGTTGTTGCGGTTGTTGCTGCTGTGATATTGTACCAACATTATCCGGTGTTGGACCAACTGGTACTGGGGTGGCAGGTACAGTCAAATCGCTTCCACAGAGCAGTGAACTGGGATTGGATGTATGAGAAACTTTAGGTGTGTGTGGAGACGTAATCAGGTCAGAATTGCTGCCAACGCCAGCATTAGCGCCGACCCCAAAAATGAGCGGTGGAGCAAGATTCATGAAATTCATGGACATTATATGGTGGAACTGCATGAGATTCAGCATTTCGACAGGGTTCAATTGCAAACCAGAGGATGCTGCAGTGGCTGTCAGTTGCGGCAACTGTTGGAGTTGCTGAAGGTTTTGTAAGCTTTGGTGGTGTTGTTGAATATACTTTTGCGTCAAAAGCGAACCGCAGGGCTTTATTTGCATATGTTGCATTAGATGAGTTGGTGTAATTGCTGATAACTCATCGCCACTGAAATGTGGTTGAGCCTGTTGTTGTGTTGACTGATTTAATAGTGCCGCGGTGATGGCAGCAACCTGTTCTTGCTGCTGCTGCTGTTCTTGTAATAAGTGAGCTCCTAATGGGGAAGACGATACTTGCGATGATGTATTCGAAATTTTCGATTCGATAACCTCCTTGACTTGCGGAGACCCTGGCGGCGACTGACGTTCTACCAGATTTTCATCACGACAAGGAATATAAAGCAAAAAATTATTTTAAAAATTAGTTTCCATTTAAGATGAACGCAAGCTTACAACCGATTGGGTTGCCAGATTTTAAAACGGAGAAAGGAGTACATTTATATTTTCGATAGAAAAAAAGCAGTTCAAGACATAAAAGAGGAGTACACTTTTTTTTTTAATTTCACTTAGTAGAGGTTATAACCCCTAAGCGCGGCCGAAGGCCGCCCACGCAGAAAGGAGTTAGTGCCGAGTGGATACCGAAGCCGGAGCTATATCCACAAGATGTGTTATACACTTTTGACAAAAAAAGGGGGGTTCCTCCTCTTTTAAAATTTTAATCCTTATTTGCATTTGCCAGTTTTGGGAGATAAGTACATGCGGCACGCACGTCTTTTTCATGTGTATTTTTTCTTAGACTTTGTATAAAAAAAAGAAAAAACCTGTGTAGGGTTGGTCGAATGAATGCCCTCCTAGTCACCAGTTCCGAGTCTTTTCGATTGCTAAGTATGAGGCCTTATGTTGGACAAAAGACGGAGTATAAAGGACCCGAATGGGGGAAATTTGCCTAGGGTTACAGAAGATAGGTAATAAAGTAACCGACGAAGACTTGCGTGCCGCTTGCCCTTTTCTCCCGAACCCGCTGGTAAACCCAAATGAAGGTTAAAATTTAAAAACGATTTAAAAAAAAATTAAGTAAAATCGGTGGAAAATTAACAATATAAACTACTTTATTTACTTGCGCTTTTCTCTCAAAGTGTTTACCGCCGGTAAACCCAAATGAAGGTTAAAATTTAAAAACGATTTAAAAAAAAATTAAGTAAAATCGGTGGAAAATTAACAATATAAACTACTTTATTTACTTGCGCTTTTCTCTCAAAGTGTTTACCGCCGGTAAACCCAAATGAAGGTATAAATTTAAAAACGAATTAAAAGAAATTAAGTTAAAACTGTGGATAATTAACAACAAACGACTTTTTTCGCAAAATCTATAAGGGTTCCTTTCATTTTTCAAAAAAAAACTGTGCACCAGTTATTATTTTACACCCTGTATATGATAAAATATTAATTGCTGGAAAAAGGAGTACAAAAGAAGCACAAAACTAATAAAGGAGTACATTTCCATATATTGATTTTGGGAATACAAGGGAGTACATTGCAATAAAAAGGAGTACGTTTACTCCCAAAAGCAGTACGTCTGGCAACCCTACAACCGAGTAAAGATTTTGAATAACTGTGCAAAAGTACCATTAGATGTAGCAATGCAAGTGGTTTTGAAGCTTCCGACAATGATTTATGAACTGTGGCAGAAAAAAATTTCCGGATGTTTGCATCAGAAAGTGGACATTCATTTTCGTAATTGAACAGCAAAATGCGCGTATTGCTACATCTAACTGCACTCTACGGCAGAAAAGTACTGATGTAAGCTCACGTGGATGAATATTGAGAAAGGGACAGAACAGTGGTGGCAAAGAGGGAGCAGCGCTTGTATGCTGCGAATAGTGTACACAAGCACCATACAGGGAGGAATCTTCATCCCTCTCTCTGGACGATGTGGCACTTATGATCTGACCCAAGGATACCTTATTCTGGCGTCTAAATCGACGGGTAACAGCAGCCTAACTAATTGTCAAGGACCACAATAACAGGCGTTGCTGCTTTCTGGCAGGGTCAGGTACTTGGGTCAAATCCATCGAGAACAGAAAAAGGTATGAGTTACCTTACAAAAGATGGGGTCTTTCTTGGTTCTATAAGAGATGTTTTAGTACTTTCCTTTCGGCATTGAACTAAACTGCTACTTATGGCTTCTTATTTAATAAACTTTAATGCCAAAAATATAAGAAGAATTATTTGTTATTTGGACTTCAAACACTGCGAATACTTCAGACAGTGACTTAGTGGCCAAAGTAGCCGGTTGAAGTTCGGAGTACCTATTCAATGGAGATAACAAAAAACCACTTTCACTACTGTTATTTCTGCTGCGTTAACTTGCGTTGTGTTAACGTTAAATACCTATGTGCAGACTTAGAATCGTCTAGAAGGCGCTTACCACATTTAAAGGAAGTATCTATTCGAACATTTTGTTCCGCCCGTATCCCATCATTCAAAAAAATCTTCTGTGGAGTGAGCAGTGACTGCGATTTCGAACAAATAACGCCTACAAAGCCACAAGTTTTCATGAATTAGAATTAAATTGTTTGATAAGGGATTTAGAACTAGCTTCTAGATTAAAAGAAAGCAGTTGTTGTTCTATCGTAGAAGGAAGCAAAGCTTGCAACTTAGTTTTTAATTCAGAAAATCATAATAGGGGTATTCTCGAAGTCTTGCACGATGCACGGATTACACGAAATGCAAAAATACTATTCCAAACTTCGAAGAGTACGAGAGCACCCCATTGCAAAGTGGGAGCATGCATGGGTAGCAAGCAGCGAAATCATGTATCAAATAGAATAACAAGAGACAGCAAAAAGTGGAGTGAGCGATATGAGAGGAATGAGAGAAATATGTAGCAATTCCAACCACAAAACAACTAGCACAGGGTCGCATTTATCTTGCTGTGCTATTTTGCAAAATATATACATGGGTTTCGACGTTGCATATTTTGCAGCTATAGGAAATGTTGTTTCCCATGTATTTTGTTGTTGTGTGTTTGCAAGTTATGCAATCCATGCAATCCGTGCTACGTGCAATGGCTTTGCAAGATTTGGAGAATACCCCTATTGGTTTTTGTTCAGGTGTGCAAGGCCTGGCCCAACATCGTAAAATCGCTTTTAGTTTCAAGAGGTACAATTATATCATCCCCCTTGCACAAAAAGCTGGGCCTTATGAAACAATTTGTGAAGACGCTAAACAAAAATCGAGCAATGGTTTTCATGTATAATGAGAAAATTTCCTGGTCTAAGCACAGAAAAGATAAAAGCAGGAATAAGAACATTAATAAATTATTAAATTAGAAAAATATGTTCAATGAACAATTTGGAACATCTTGCGCGGTAGTGATGGAGAACTATCGATGGGGCTATCGATGGTTTTATTTTGCCGCCACTATCGAATTTTTCTAAACACTCGTCCTCTTGTGATTCACACACTTTTCTGGTGACAAAATCAAAGCTTTTTTAAAAGTATTTAATTGACTTGGTAATCGTTTCAAAAGTTCTTCGATTATTGTGATTAAACATTTTTGAGTATTTTAATATGCTTTTTAAGTCAAGTTTATCACGCAGTTCACTAGCCTCTTCTGTAAAATTATCGTGGAAAACTTAGTTTTGTATATTATTATAATTGGGAAAAATTTATTTGAAGGGAAAAAATCGCCAAAAATCGCCAATGGCGATTTACTGAATTTCTACGCGCAGAAATCCAAAAAAAAATCGCCAAATAGGCGCGAAATCGCCAAATCTGGACACTCTGGTATCAAGTATTTTGCACTATCCCTATCGAGACCATCGATAGTTTTCCAACACTACTGTGCGGACTTTGTTTGTTGAAGTTACTAAAATTGTTTTGGGAAATTGTAAGTCAAGTAACTACTCCGAAATAGAAAACGACATGCTGGAGAGCTTTATAACCTTATAGCTTTATTCATAAAAAATTATAGTTTAAACAACTAAAACCTCCCTATTATAATTGCCATCAGGTATCTAACTTGAGAATAGAAATCGCTGCATCTTTTAGGCGCATCAATATTACATAGTTACATCCCGAGCTAATAAAAGGAAGGTAAAAAATAAAGTAGCTTTCAAAAGGGTTCATAAATTGAAAAATATATGAAAACGTCATTTTATAAAGCTTTTTAAACTTACTTTATTTTTTATGAATACGGCCCCACGTTACCAGTCATCTTGACAACTTCCCAGAGAATCTTGGATCCTATAGGGAACAAGGAGAGCGTCTTCACAAGACATGTTTGACCTATTAAAGAGAGGTACCAATGCCGGTGGAATCGTTGTATGATGGCGGACTACTGCTGAGTAGGCATAGGGATAAATCGATACCATCAAGGTATTACGTAAATCAGTTCTTGTACTTGTATCAAACAAGGTATCGATACTTACTCAGTATCGGCAAGGTATCGAGTACTTGTACATAGCACTACGATTTTGCATATTTTTCTAAGTTATTGTATTTTTTCACAAAAAATATGCATTTTTACAAGATTATTTATTTTTTGATATTTTTTCATACAACAAATTAAGAACACAATTATTTTTGTATGGTATTTGAAGATTATTTATCTTTTAACATTTTTTCATACAAAAATTTCATCTCAAAAACAATAGAATACATTTTTTCAAGATTAACTACCATACCTAAAGAAAAGCGCTGGGCTAAGCGTTTTCTGACGCCTAGCGTTAACGCCGAAGTGCCATACCTAAAAAAAAGCGGCAACGCTACGTCAAATGAAGAAATAACAAGAACAACAAGTATAGGTTTGTTTGTGTGAACTCCGAAAATTACAGCCAACTTCACTTCCAACGTCCGGTCAAAATCGGATTTTTCAACCGCTCAGCCTTGACCCCGCGTTGTTTCGGTATGCTTCATACAAATCGTATGCGAATTTTTTGACAGCCAGACAACGCTTACGCTTTTGTTTAGGTATGGCTGTAAATGATAAAGTTTTTGCATATAAAATAAGTTTAAGAAAAGAACCAATTTTTGGGTATATTTCCCAAAAACATTAACTTTTCCAAGTGTTTTCCTGAAAGGCGGTTTCGAGATTTTGAAATAGTTGTACCTGTTTTTGAGAAAAGCCTCTCGCAAGGAACAGATGACCCAACAACCGTTATGTGAAGACGGGCTTGCTTATATAGCTGTAGAAATGTAGTACGCATATCTTCCCATTCCCCTAATGGGTTGCTTTTCAAAAAAGATGCTGAAGCATAATATGTTTTGCGCTTCCGATACAAGTACTTTTTTCGATACCTAGTTGGATCGCAGTAAAAAGTATCGAATACAAAAACACTTGTACTTGGATTTACTTGTATCGTTTCATCCCTAAGTAGGCATGGGGACCTTTTGAAGCAAAGAGCGAAAGAGCCAACTCTTTCAATTGAACTAGTTCAGTAGTTTGTTCATTAAAGTCAACTAAACTTTTTTTGTGGCAAGGCTCTAATAAAAATGGAAATGTGATTTTACAGCTCATATGGAAGGAAACTCGTTTTCCGTTGTAAGGACGTAACGAAACAGCTGATCGGAATTCACGCTAAAAATAAATTTTATTTTATTTAATTTCCTATGCTTTACATCGTTTACTGCAATTTGTGTTTAAGAGTAATACTACGTTTCCACGATTCGTAATTCGCTCTCCCATTCGTTATTCGCCATCCAATTACCCTTTGAATTACGTAATTTCCCACACAAAGTTTTGAGAGCGAATTACCATACGAATGTCGAACGAATCGGTGCCTTCTCTAATATTTATCGGAAATAAATCGAAGTTTTCACCGGCCTGGTTCAATTTGCTGACACTTTCTAGTTGCTGGAAAATTAATTAATAAAATATTCTCTATATAAAATAAAATCTTTGATGATAACTTAAATGTTTGCTCCATGTTGTTCTGTAACTCAGCTCTTCCTACGGAACTAGTTCAAATAGGCGAACTATAGTTCAATAAGGTAAACGAACTAAGACTCAGCTAGTTCATTGAGCTGAACGAACTGGGAGTGAACTAATCTTCAAAGTGAACTAAAAAATCCAACTCTACTGCTAAAGGATGCAATGCCATTTTTCCAATACATACCCCTAATTTACAAAAGGAGTGAAAAATAATAGGGCTATTCAGGATCTTGTGCATATGCTCTTGGATTTGCATATTCATTGCATTTGTAAATTCACAATAATAAAATGCACACGGTTGCCGTGACAGCGAGCAAACAATTTGCAAATGCAGTTCCAACTGCAAATCCAAGACAACATCTTGAACAGGTCTAATGTTTTTATGTACATAATAACGTAATAAATACAGTTTTGATGCAAATTTGTGTTTTTATGTAATAATGAAAATCTAAAAAACTACACGTTCTGAGAAATGAAATTTTTTGTAGGTGTGTAATCAGAATAAGGTAAACAAATAAGTATAGCTCGTCTGTACCAAAGCCACTGTTGCCCGGCGTATTTGTTCTTTATATTTACCTTCAGTGTCACTAATTTTGACTGCGTTCTCTGGCAAGAGATCAGCTGTGTGGGTACAGGTTTTCCCATGGCTGGACTGCTGGGATGGTGAGCCACGGCCACTGCAGCTTGAAAACGTCGGTGAACTGGAACTGGGGGTATTTTGGTCGCTGCTAGTGTGATGAGTCTGATCCATATGCTTTTGTAGCGCTTGCGTACTGCGAAAATTTCGTTGGCACAATGTACATTTGGTAGCATCGCGCATTGTGTGATATAACAAGTGTGTGGACAACTTTTCTTGGGTTTTGAACGCAAGTGAGCAGTGTTTGCAACGGTATTTGTATACATGTCGTTCCGATATAACTAAGCTTATGTGCGTGTTCTTATAATGTGCGATCATTGCAGTTTGTGAGGGAAATGTCGAGTGGCAAGGCCGGCTGGGATGACTAGCTGCCAAACAGCGGTGATCTCCATTTGGCAAGAGAACAAAATGTTGAGTTTTCTGTGCATGCTGCAACAATTGCTGTTCATGTTTAAATTGGGAAGAACACTGTTCACATGATAATTCACTGCTATTTCCAGTTTCCAGTGATTGAGCGTACGTCGTGGGATTAGATTTATTTAGATTTATAGCTGCACTGTTAGAAATCCCCATCGCCGATGTGCTCAATTCTGTAGAGCTTTTTATATTTGGGTCATTGGGGGTATACGTACCGGTAGCAGGCTTGGTACTTTTAGCATCATAAATGCTTCCTGGTTTTGTGGGGAATTGCTTCCAAACGCTGGCATCTACCAGCTGTAGGAGCCGAGCTAAGCCATCACGATTTACACTGTGTACATTCATCAAATGTGATTCCAGCGCTTGCTTGCGGCCAAAAATATCAGTGCACAATGGACACTGAACGCTGTGTTTTGGGCTTGTTTGGCCAACCTGGCTATTGTCCTCCACATCACTAGCTCCATGCTCAACGCTTTTGAGTAGTGATGAATGTGGATGTAATTCTTCCTCCTCAGTTTCTACAAGCTCACCACTCATAACATTATGACTTCCTGGCCCAGATTCATTCATGGATGGCGATGATGTATTCTCATTCATTGTTGTAGTTATCCAGGGATCAATTGTTGATGTATCTTTTAGTGTCATTGTACTGCTCATATCAGTGCCTTTTTCTAATTCCTCGTCTACTGGCGAAAATAAACGTTCTCGTTTGATTGACGTAGGGCAATCATCATCGACAGTATCAGTTTCTAAATTGGATTTACATTCAGAGCGTGTAGCTGTTACAGCAGATGCCGCCGCAGCTGTAGCTGCTGCAACCGCCGCTTGAAATGCTTGCATTGCCGCAGAATTCGTTGGAATGCTGATGTAGTCTGGCTCCGTTTGTGGATGAACTGTGCCAAGGTGTATTTCCATCTCATCTTTAGATTGTGCAAACAAATCGCAGTTGTTGCATTTAAATACGACTGATGGTATGCTCGCAGCACTAGTTGTTGAACCCAATGAGGTTGCTTGTAAATACCTATCACCAATTGACGATTGGAAATTTGGTGTATTAACCCGTTGATACCCTTTGCTACGTACACTTGTATTTCCTGATGCAACCGAGGAATTTGATGAAGGTGAGAAAGAGTTGTGATCTATCCCAGGTGTATTATAACCGGTGTCCTCATTCGTTAAGCGCGTCGTAGGAACAGGGAAATAGTCAGCGACCGAGACCGACCTGATATTTTCCATTTTATTATCTGTAGAAACCGTAACATTATTATTAGTCGAAAACACGTGTTAAGACAATTTCTTACTATATGAAAATATAAGTGAGTATTAGTTTTGTGACGACCGCTGTGTTAGAGGAGGGTACTACCACTCCGTAGGGCCTGGATACGATCCCTGGCCCGAGCAACACTTAAATTACAAAAAGTATTTTCTAACAGCGGTCACCCCCCGGCAGGCAATGGCAAAACTCATGAACGTATTTGCCACCCGCAGGCGGCTTTAAATTGTAGATACCTCCATTTGCGTTATAACGTCAAGACGCACACCCCAGATTTATTGGAAGAGAAGCTCGACCAAACTCTTAGCAAAAGTGAAAGCACCAGCATATTTTATTAAATAATATTAGTTTGGTATTAATAATAGCACAGTGGTCGCTTGTCGATCAACTGTAGGAAATCCATGGGACACCCTTCCCTCTTTCAGCAATATTTCTTGTAATTAGCAAAAGTAAAAGGATTTTTTTTGTCAACGACAAGATATTTTTTATCAACTATGCGAGAAATTTGGCCAAAAATAGAAGCAATAATTTCAATGTTTTGAGAATATGACCCCAAAAACTGTGTTTTTAAATACATTTTGCTTATAACGATTTTTTCACATAACGATATTTCTGCGGCCAATCATAAAGACAAAATTGCAATAGTTTCGCATAAATCCCATTTAGAAGTAAAATTTATAAACTCAGCTGGGGCTTTACTATTGGATAGGCTTATTTTCAGTTCGTTTTGCGCTATCGCAGTGTTGTGAGGAAAACGAGCATGCAATTTTTAAGCTTTATTTTACAACGTATGTACATATGTATGTATGTATATACTTGTATCATCTCGCTTTCTTGTTTCTCCGCATTTTAGTACAAAGTTTGCAAACGAACTGAACCTCAAAACCCAAAGGAACTGAAATACCTAACAGTTTTTTTTCTGGTTTCGTCGAGTTTTGTGGAAGACATAGACTCAGAGCTGGGGAACCTAAAGGCTCTGTTATGCATACTTGGCAGTGCATGTACTGCTATACCATTTTTACGTAGAAATCAAAAACCAACAGACTTCTACGTATGTAATGCTGTGCGTTGGGTAACCGCTTACATGCGAAGCTCATTTAACAGATTCCTTATGTGACAACTCTCAAGCAATGCCAAGTATGCATAACAGAGCCTTAAGGCATGCGTGCCATTGATGGCAGGCAACAAAATAATTTGGGCACGGTATTAACCCTAAAAGCCCGATCCACGTCTGCCAGGCGTATACGGAATCGGGATTTTTTTTAATTTGAACACAAAAGTGCCTTTATACTTTGTTGTTTTAAATAAATGTGGTTGTAGTTTTTATTAAAATAACTATGTTTTATTATTAGTTTATATCACAACTTCAATATTATAATAATTATAACAAGTAATTTTTAGCAAAAAAAAAACCGACTTCAACTCCCATATAAAAAAAAAATATATATATATATATCTCATGATCCGCTGATCGGATCTTAACCAGATTAGTATGGGACCACCTCTGAGACACTACCTTTCCGATGCAAAAAGTATTATCGAAATCGGGTGACGTGGTCCAAAGTTATGCGGTAACATACATAAAAAAAAAAAAAAAAAGATTCCGACGAACTGATAACCTCCTCCTTTTTTGGAAGTCGGTTAATAATAATAGATTGGTGCTTATACATACGTTAGTACTTAGCCAAGCTTCTGCTCCGATTTGTGGCGTGCGCCTTGATGTTGTCACACACAGAATACACTCGGAGGTTTGCCATTGCCTGCCGAGGGACGAACGCTGTTAAGGAAAAACCTTTCAACATTCTTTAAAAAAAAATGGTCAGAACTAAGTATATTTTAGCTCACAGGTTGTCTTTTAAGTCACTAACGCCTCTAAGACGTATGTTTGGGCTTTATGTAGCTTCCAAATAGATTTTGTTTCTAGGGTTAATTGAGGACTCAATTCTTCAATTAATAGTAGTAGTATTTACTATCTAATCGACACAATTTAATTTATTCGTTTAAATTGGAGATGAAAGCAAGATCTACTGACACCCGTGAAAACAGGTCAGAAGAGCCAAAAATACAGACAGTAATCAACTAAACCCACATAAGACATTGGATTCTTGGGTTCAGTTGCATCATTCATCAATAAGCTTTGTGTGCAAAGTAGGGATGTTACGAATGTGGAATTTTAGACATCCGCGGATGCGAATGCGGATGCGAATATCTAACAGCAAACATCCGCGGATGTGGATGCGAATGCGGATGTTAAGTATTTTTAATAAACAACTAGAATCTAGTATAATGGCGAGATCGTTGTTTAAACAGCGCTTATAATCCAAACCAGATGTATCAGATTTTTCTAATGGTGATTTCGTTTCCACCAAAAAATGTCGCCTTTTGATTGCCCCTTTCTCTTTTTGTGTTCGATTCTAAATTAAAGGTAAAGGGTGAGAAAATTTTGTGTTCCTTTCTTAAAATGTTACAATATTGTAAGGTAAAAATCACATTCCCTGCCCTTTGAAGCTTTGTCAGGGAAGATGGTTGTCCTGAAAATCACATGGTTGTTAAAAACGGCAATATTATAAATTGGGTGAGCTAGACAAGGACAAGAACGCAAAAACACGCTTTTTTACAGGGTTGAGTGTAACATCAAAGACATTTTTCCCCGGGGAAGATCAACATTTTTTCGAAGAAACGAAATCACCATAAAGCTTTTTAAAAAGAATTCTTCATTCTCATTCCTTTGGCTGTTTTAGAATTTAGAGAATCTGTAACTTCATCAGTGTTTTTCGATTTCAGTTTCTGTAATTCATTTTTCATACTTTCTTTTACGGCAGGTTTGAAAAAGTTGTACTTATAGCTATAGTTGTGGAATATTTATTATTATTTTCCGGGAATGAAAATTTTTAACAAAATTCTGTTTTCAAAGTCGTGGCTGCCAGCCGAATCGGAGCAGAATATTATTATTTTTTTAAAAAAGCACTCTGTTTTTTATGAGATAGTTACGTAATTCTTATCTTATTAAAGGTCAGACCCATAGTTTTTTTAATTATTTGAGCATCGATTCTCTTTATAGCCAGACGGTGATAATTTCTGCTGGAAATCCCCATTGAAGGAGCCTATTCTTTGACCATAAATAGCAAAAAATGGACAGTTTTACCACAGAAGTTTTTTGCCAAGGATCCAATGTATATCCCTATGAAAAAAATATTGCAAGTAAACAAAATTACTGTTTTTAAAATGTTTGCTAAAAATAAATTCCCCATAGAGCTCCATTTGAAATTATTGAAACGAATAAATATATGTAACATCAAAAGCAAATCACTAAAAATTGGTTAAGAATTACAGTACACCCTTTCTTATTTTTGGTCTAGTAGTTTTTTAAGATTGGTCCAAAAAAATCATAATAAAGAAGGAAACCAACGCAGGTATTTAAAGCACAAAAAAAATGGTAAAAATACTATGTTCCCTTTGACGTACGTCAAAGGTCAAGTAGAAGTTGGAACTTGTATGACTGCCCATTGATAGCTCGGTTATATAACTTAAGAAATAATAATATGTTTAAAGACATTTTTATCAAAGTTGATAAATATGACATTTGACCAGTTTTGTTACACAAATACTCCCGCGACCACAGGCAAAAATATTGGCTACAATTTGTCATTTTGTTTGCCATATAGGTATACAAAAGCTCCGCATTGATTATTGCGAATGCGAATGTTAAAATTAATGCGGAAGCTCAGCGGTTGCGAATGCGAATATTCGCAACAACCCTGGTGCAAAGCATGGCTTCGCCTCCCTTGGTGATATAATGGGCGTAGTTCTCAAAAATAATGAACCCTCATATCTTGGTAGGCATTAAATAAACGAAGGTTTGAGGCTTATACGTTGCTTGCAAAATTGGTGGTTTTTACTGATATGCGCCATCTTTTCAATGATTTGAACGTAAAGCTTCAAGGCTCTCATAAAACTGTTATAATTATGATGCATAGATTTAAATTTAAATAAATTTAATAGCAGCTTTTCTGGCAGATATTACATTGATAACTTTGTCAAAAAGCTGCAACTAACTTTAGTGTCGTCTTTATTTTGACAATGAATATGCCCCATCGTTTCCAAAAATTGCAAATGTTTGCCAAATTTAAAATCAGATTTGAATTTAGATGAAAACCAGTGTTGTCGTTCCGTGTAAGAAAACAGGCGAATATATCAAAACATCTGACGTTTATTCAAAAATTTTATATTTGCGAAATCAAGGTTACATAAATCATATGACAATGAGAATGTTTTCAGTTTATCGAAAACTGTAGAAAGCTTCGTTCAATATTAAATCAGAGTTGCATTTACAGAATTAAAAAGTGCGTACAAATTTTGACAAGTTTTTGAACATGCAGAAGTAACTGTCGTTTCACTAGTTTTAATCTGCAACATTCCGCCTCTCGTGAGTCGAAGCGGATGCCATATAGGGTTGCCAGATTTTTTATGCGCGAAATCAGTACATTAGACTTTTTCATGCTAAAAAATCAGTATTTTTCAGTACAGTTTTATTCAAAGAAAAATTATGATTGTAAGTAACAGAAAATAATTTAAAACGCCTGAGTTCTTGTTTTTAACAATATTTTGGTATATAAATATAATATAGTTCATAAAAAAAGTGTTATTCATTTTAACATGAGTGTACACATCATTATGCACAGGAGCCAATCAATTATTTTATATTTGGGTCATTCCATTGAAAAGAGGAAAACGACATAAATTTAAATATGCACTAATTATCTCTATTTCAGTAGTAACCTCTTTTTAAAAGGCTAAATTTCATTACTCTTTTGGGAAACATTAAAAAAATCAATAGAAGTTGTAATTTTTGTCTATGGAAACTTTTATGTCATGCATAATTACTTTACACCAGTCACAAGGAGTTGCCCCACCAGTCACAACTTAAAATATTTTTCAATATTTCTTTGAAGATTATATAAACCTCATTTT